CCTGTCATTCAATTGACAATAAGTTATAAAAATGTCAAATACAATATAATACGTGATATGATTACAGCAAATATCAAATATGGCATAAATATGCCGACCACTGACGAGGCCATAGAGCCGATGCCCAACCCCTGATTCCTGATAGGTGTGGGGTAGAGCTCAGCCCCCTGTTGGTAGACCACCATAAACGCTAGAGTGGTACAGAATTTGCCCGCCATTGCCATAATGTTAGTGACAAAAGCGTATTCTTCGGGAACTACTGACGGCACGCATAGAGAAAACCCACAGAATATGACGAACGCGGATAAAGACCAGCGCCGACCCATTCGGGTGCCGATTAGATACCAGCCGAACAAATAGGCGGGAAATTCAATGGCTGACAGTAGAAAGAAGTTGAGAAATTCATTGCCAGAAAAGTTATATAGATTGAGATGAATGCCGAAATAGACGGCCGCACAACACATCCAATTCAGTGTCACCAGCGATACGTTGCGCCGAAGGCCCGGCTTTTTAACGAATAATAGAAAAGCGTTATTCACTTTTTCCGAGTCGTCGGCGTTTAGGCTTTTGCCAACACTTTTTAATTTATGGATCAAGTCTTTAGGCGCTGGTTTGCCATTAGTGGCCGCCATATCCAGCAATTGTTTCTCCGCTTCAGCGTATTTCTCATTTATGATTAGCCAACGCGGAGACTCGGGAAGCAATCTATTCACAAACACTTTATGTTACTTTCATTTCAAATATAACTAATTATTTATATTTACTTCCAACAGAAGAAGTATGGGATGATTGTAATAGAGGTGACTATATTTAAGGTAACCCAATGTCTGGTTAAATATGCAATTAATGGGAGTGTACAGAGGCCTCCCACCCATGCCAGACATGCGATACCGTTGAGATATGTCCTAGATCGTGCGCCCACCGATTCTATCACTTCAAAAATGCGTTAAACACCCGTTTAATTAATTTTTAAAATAAAACTTACAAATAATGTACGGTAATTGATAAAAAGATGGTAAAATAAGGCCATTGATCACACGGAATACGATAAAACTATTGAGATCTCTCAATATTGTTGGACTTAATGACGACAATATGAATATAAATATTGTTACTTGAAAAGTCCTTTTTCTTCCGATTCTGTATCAAATTTATGCTATTAATTAATATGCAATACAAATGTCTTAACAAATAAAGTGCTAACTTATCGGAGAGCCAACCAAAGAATGGCGTTCCTATAATTGTGCCAAAATTTCCAACCGATAAAATCATATTCACGTAATGACTTTGATCGCAGACTAGATCTAGCTACATATCAATATTAATAAATTATTTAATATTATATTTGATTGTTTTGTTAATTTATAAATTAATATTAAAGTGTCAATATATTGTTAATAGTATTCTTACAGCTGTAACAGCCGTTTGTTCGTAAAATGTTGTGTCATAAGCCCACCCGTCGTAACAGGGCTTGACTGAGAGGTCTGTCAAGTTATGGTCAGACATATAGAT